CCTCTAGCCAGGTGGTCTAGGTTTGATAGAAAGCGGGCTGAGCACTAGCAGGAGAGGGCAAACCAGGAAGCAACATTCCCCATGGTTTCTGCTCCAGTGCCTATCATGAGTTCCTGTCTGACTTCCCTCAAAGACACACTATGGCATGGAAAAAGAAGATGAAACAAACCCTTTCTTCCCCAAATTGTTTGTGGTCATGATGGTTGTCACGGCAACAGGTGACAAACCAGAACACACACACACACAATAAACAATGTAGACACTTTTAAAGAGTTACACATTTAACATCATCAAGGCCAAGGAAGTAAAGAGATATCACTGATGGTAAATGGCCATGCAGAGACACGAGCGCATGGTGAGATCTGTGATGATCAGAGAATAGATGCTCCAGCCCTTCCGTGCCGAAGAGCTCTGCTGGGCTGGGAATGCAGCCTCGTTGGCAGAGTGCTTGCCTAGCATGCACAAAGCCATGCGTTTGATCCCCAGCACCGTGTCAAACAGGAGGGGTAGCACACCTCAGTAATCCAGGATTTCTGAAGGAGAGAAAGGATGAAACTCAAAGCCATATTTGTCTACATAGGCATCTCAGGCCAGCTTGGGACACGGGAACCAACCCTCTGCAGAAGGCGGAAAAACACTTACGGCTAAAACGTTCACAGGCAGCATTAATTAGCCCATGAAGCACTGCTGGTCTTACTCTCGCTTAAAGAGAGTACCAATTTAAATAGAATGGACTATCACCCAAAGACACTGCCTAGCCTCATCCTTTATAGCCTAAGGAATTTCCTGTGGTTAAGAGCTTGGCATTCGCCCCAGAGGAGTGGGCTCTGTCCAGCATGGAACAGGATAGGATCTCAGGTCCATGTCCCAGGGCAAAAGACAGGATGGGAAACTGAACAGGCAAGCCCAACAGATGTTATTAAACCAATATTACACAGTGCCATAGAAATTAGGTCATTACTGTTCTGCTGACACTCCACTCCTAACAGCGTATAATTTCCTCCCAGGAGGGTTCCATGTGAACATGCTGTTGTACAAATGAGGAAAAGGAGGCCCAAGAAGTGTAAAGGATTCACTGGGATCACCCAAATCTGAATGCCACACCAGTTGGCAATTTTGTTTTTACTCTGTGCGGCAGCATTCAAGGTATCAAACATTCATGCTGAATTCCTGCCAAATATAAGCCATATATAGATGTTAAATTTAAACCTACTTATAGTTAGTCATGTGTTTCCTTTGGCCCCTATAGATCGATCCCTGAGTATGGGTATCGCATACTCCCCGTTGGAAGCCCTGGTATGTCTGTCCCTGAGTGTGTGCATCTCCAGGAAGGCAGCATAGCCCTGAGAATGTGTGTGCTGCTCTCTGTTAGAGGAATTCCTGGCCCAAGAACACAGTGTAAATAAAGGCAATCCAGAGGGAAACCAGTGATAAGATAAGTGGAATCCAATAACTCCTGGTCCTCCCCTCCACCTACTTCCCTCGTTTTGCTCCAGCAGAAAAACAACCTGGGCACTCGTGGGAGAACTGCAATGTGAGCTGTGCTCTCCGAGGCCACTCCGCTCCCTGTTCCGGGCTGCATGGCTCAGAGTTTGGGAGGACGAATTTCTCAAAAGATCCGGGACTGTGGCTCCCCTGATACAGAACCAGGCCATGTGAAGGCAGCCCCATGTCCTTCAGAATAGGACAGTTGTGGCCGAGGAGGAAACTATGGATGGATGGATGGATGGATGGATGGATGGATGGATATGTACAAACATAGATAGATGATAGATAGATAGATAGATAGATAGATAGATAGATAGATAGATAGCTTGATTTTAATCTTCAATCAGCCCTTGACAGAAAACATCACAGGCAAAACACCACAGACCTGGAGTTCTATAGTTACAAGTGTTACCTACTCACAGAATCTGAAGCCTTAACTGGGTCACAGAGTTTTTCTAGCTCAATCTAGTCTTTATTCTTCATTTAAAAAACACAAAAACGGGCCTGTAGAGATGGCTCAGCAGTTAAGAACACTTGCTCTTGCAGAGGACCTAGCACCCACATGACAGTTCCCTACCATCTGTAACTACAATCCCAGGGGATCTGATGTCCTCTGAACTCCAGAGGCATCTATACATGCGTGGTGCACATCAACACATGCAGGCACACATAAACAAATTCATTGGTTCTTATTAAAAGCACAAAAGGATAAAAGCAGGCCTGTCCGTTTAATCCTCAAAGAACTCGCTGCAGTCAGCCTCAGTCATTGGCTTCAATTTCAAGCATTTATTTATTCTTCATCCTTCTTGATTTTTAGTTCACTTACCACTGAGTGCTAAGCAATGTGGGGAGCACTCTGGTACAAATAAGATTGCCACATACAAAACAGGATGGGGGAATAAAACAGAAGTTATTGTCCGATTTTTTTTTTTTGGCACCATCATCCAGAATCAAAAGCCACTAATACTGAACTAATTATAACCATTAATCCAATGTCTTTTCTTTTAAGTCTAAATGCTGGCCCTGAACATGAACAGATCACTCTTTTATGGCATTCTCTATATCCTCCTTTCCTTGTGTCCCAGGGATGGAACTCAGGGCTTCAGGCTTTCTGGCAAGCACTTTACCCACTGACTGAGCCACCTCACCGGTCCAGTCTTTTAAAAGATATTTCTCAACGACAGTTTGTAGTAAGTTCTCGGGATCCAGGAGAGCCCTTCCCATGGCAAAGTTGCAGACTTCAACATAACGTGTGTCTAAACTTTCACTGCTTAGCTGTGTCAAGCTGCTTCAGCACAAGTATCTAAGTCTAGGCACACAGGGACAGCCTAGCTCATCTGGTAAATGCCACTGAGCACAGGTCCTCTCTTGTACAAGTCTGCAGGAGCTTTACGGGACAACAGGGTGTGATGGGCCCAGGGAATTCAGGGGGAAGGGAAAGCCTAGAAGCGGCACCAAAACATACTGCTAATACCTGTCATTCCCTGGGAAAGGGAAAATACAGACTGCGGCCCTTGGCAAGCTTTTAATGAGCTGTCTCTAATTCTGACCCAATTTGTGCAAGAGGACAACTAATATAATTCCTTGGCAAACCACTGGCAAACCTTGCCTCTAGCTTAAAGGGTCTGTAGAAACTAAACTCTGTCAGTTCATTTTATAATATGACACTTCCTTTTGCCCCTGGCAGTGATGGCTGTGCTGTGAAGAGCTGTGATGTACTGTGTAGTCTTAGTCTCCTTTGTATGAACACACACACACACACACACACACACACACACACACACACACACCATGACTAGAGTTACAGGTGCACAGCTCAAAAACAAGGTGAATCTAACCATATTCTAGACCTGGCCTGACCTCTCTAACGACAAAAGCCTAGCGTACAGCTAGACTTTAATAAGAGCCCATTTTTAAAATATAAAAGATGGGCATCTGCTTCTCCCCAGCAAAACTCAAAGCTAAGACCCGGGCAATCTACTTTTGGAAGTTTAAATTCCAAGCGTCCATCAGGCAGGCAGTGCTGCCATTTGCACTGCAAGTATTTTCTTCTGAAGTGAACGGGACAAACACCAGCTCAATCTGCCTGGCAGGAAGACAAGGAACTTTCAGCGCTAAACCTAATGCAGTTTACAGAAGGAATGAGCTCAGGTTCTTGCTAAAGGTGAATGACATACTTAAGAAATACAGCAAGACGGATGGGGCGGGGGAGCTTCCCAAGTCTGGCAAAGGAGTATTATGTTTCAGTAGCCTAATGGCAAGCAGGCGTTGTGCTTGCATTTTCTCTTCCTGGCAGTCTCTGCAGCTTTCCCATTATTCCCCTAAATTGCCAAGTTTCTCCTCTAGTCAATTGTCTACATCAAATATCGTCAATGTTGCACAATACTGAGTTCGATGCCAAGAGAGAACGTCAGGAAGTCACACCAACTACACTGGAGGGAAACACACTTCCCTAGTTTTCCACATTTAATTCACAATGGTAGCTGTGGTTTAAGAACTACAGCTGTTTACTTGGCTCTGAATTTGCTACATTATAATGAGTCTCTTTTGCGGCAGGGGGAGCAGGAAAGGGTTATTTTAATGCCTAAGGATGTGAAATATCAGATTGCATGCTTAACTACTGCTCAAGTTTTTATTATTTTTTGTTAAAAGAGCTTTCAAAGTTTACCTTAAAAGGGAAGGAAACAGAGATGTTGGGGCCCTCTTAACTGTTAAAGGAGGCCTCTGTTGCCCTTTACTAGGTGAAAAGCCTGTTCCCAGATGAAGAACTCAATCCAGTGAAAAATTATCTCACAAATAGGGTCTAAAACTGGACAATCTCCAAAAAAACATTTAAATATAGAATATAAAAATATTTCCTGTTTTCAGATACTCTGTGTACATGAAATATGCATGTTTTAATGAAATATAGCAAAAAAGGAAACTCAAAAGCTTTATCATTCAAATGCTAAATGTGGCATTGAATGTTGTAGCTCAGCTGACAAGGTGCCTCTCAGGCGTGCACAAAGGCCTTGTTCAGACCTGGCTGAACCAGGTATGAACCAACTGTAGAAGCGCAGGCCTCTAGCAAAAAACTTGGGAGACAGGCAAGAGAATCAAAATCTCAAGCCTGCCCTCCATTGTAGAAATTTAAGGACAGCCTGGGATATATGAGACCTTGTATCAAAAACTGGGGGCGCAAGTGAGGGGTGGACACAGGACCCTTGTTGCTATGCTCTGAGGATTCAACAAGTTCAATCCATTCTTACGCTATGAAAGCAAACCCCCTTGTTGACGCTCTGTTCTCTGCTCCTGAGACAGCGGGAAGGATCCCAGAAGCTAAAAAGCGGACAATATCTTTCTCTGCCGTCTGCAAGGTGGAATATAGGTCACTGAGATCAGCTGCCATCTCCTCTTCATCTGTCCTCCTTTCAATGGGGATGCTAATGAGCTGAGGACAGGGTCTCTGCGGCAATATACATACAAGACAGTGCACTCAGTAGGTAACTTCAAAATCGATAGAGTCATCTCACCTCAGCCTGCCCTAGCCATTCTGCCAACAGACCAGTCACAAGTCTCAAACAGAAATGAAGGACCACTGATGGCACCCATGCAATCCTTTGAGCTCCTAAAAAAAAAAAAAGGATGCTGTGAATATTTAACTTGGATACTAACTGGGAAGCTTTCTTGCATTGCCGAGTTAACACCAGAACAAGTGACAATTATCAACCTTGGCCAAAGTGGGGCAGGGGACAGGCATACTTTCATTTCAACTGAAGTGCCCTGTAGAGAAAATAAGTTGGGCAACCAAAACTGGCAAAGTTTTGTTTTGGTTTGCTTCCTGAACTATTAGAATAGAGACTTAAGACTTGGAAGCACAAGACTAGAGGTTGTGAGGGAAGATTCCCACCCCAGTGACAAGCTCTGTGGGTCATTTTCTGAACCAAACACCTGAAACTCTCAGTGGTACTGAGTTTTGTGGGAAAGGCTTGTTCCCTCTGATGTTGCTCTAACTTTGAAGTGTTTTCACAGAAGAACCTAAGAGTCTCAAGCCAAAGCTATACTCTAAATATTTACAAAATGAAACTGTTTCAGTCTTAACTGTGTTTTGTTTTTAAACACCTGTTTGTCCCGAGAACCACATTACCAACACAAAAGCAGCCTTTAAAACAACGTAGCTCAAATAAAACTATCCACAAGCACATTCTCAACACTCAGAACTATCTGCCAAGGATAGAGAGACAGGATTCAAATTCCACTCAGGGATGAGACTGACACGCCATGCGGCTCTCCCCGCTGCTCAAGACGGTGCCCACTCCAGACCCACAAGATTTGCCCACTGTACAACACCTTTACCCACACCAAACAGATGTCCTCTCCTCGAGAAGGCCTGGAACAGACCCTGTTTCTAGAACACTCTGCCCCAGATGACAAAAGACTGCTGTCTCCCAGCAACTCCAGGAGCCCCTGGTGAACCGACAAAAGCTTCTAGCTATCTTTGCCTTCGGTTTTCTCCCCAGCTTCCCCCCATACACCTTCTGGGAAAATTATCTGGGCCAAGGAGAGTACAACTAATAAAAGTATCTAGTTAAGGGTACTAAGAAATTATAACAAGAAAACCAACAGGTGAATGTATTCCAAAAGCAATTATAAAATAACAAAATATATCATCTTTACACTTATGGAAAAGAATTGTAGCAAGATATGTTGACAAAAAACAGCAGAGGAAGTATTACAACAAATTATATAACTATCAGGAGACAGAATACAGACCCTGGATTTCCAATCCTCCTCAATATTCATTTAACAAATGCTTATTAGAAAACATGTTCCACATTCTGGAAAGACTGAGAAGACAAAGAGCCTGCCTCCAAAAAGCTTAGCACAGAGAAGCAAAGACGAAGACGCTAATAAATGAAGGGCATTTTCCCATTATGATAATTTCTAGGACAAATATAAAAATACATACATATACACATAATAAAAAGACTGATCATCTCTGCTGGTGCTCTCTCACAGGGATGTAGCCACCTACTTAAGACAAGGTGTTGAGTGTTAACCACGTGGCACAACAGCCCATGCATTAACCGCACATGAATGCACTTGCACAGACACTCCTGTATACACCATTCCCCATTTCTGAGAGATAATTCACTTGGAATAAAGTGCAAGCAGGTGATGGGAAACAAACATCTTAGAATTTAATTGCCTTCATCAAGAGTCGCAACCACAAAATCTACACAACTAATTGTGACTATGTACATAAAAGTCCAGATGCTTAAGATAATAGTAGTATCAAGTATATCATAAACTTAAAAATAGTACTTATAGCTGCCTTGTCTGTTTTTAACAGTACACCAAGGATCTTGGTTTTGGGGTCAGCAACACAAACAATGCTACAATGTCAGAGCCAGGTTTACACCTTCTGCTATTTGGAGGAGGGGTCATTTTCAGAATTGCAAGACTTTAAACCTAGAGTCAACATTAGGAATTCTTTGAACTCGCCTGTCCACACTATCAATGAGAGAGGGCAGGTGCCCCCAGAGGTAGTGGGTTAACCCATGGCAGGGTAGCACATTGAGAACTGGCACAGGACTTAGGCCTCCTAGCTTCAGCATGGAGAGCTTCACTTTTAGAGACCTTCAGCAGCTGGCGTTTAGATTTTATGAAAATTATTGCGACAACTGTGTTCCCACACTTCAACTTCAGTTATTAATTGCCCTGTCATTTTCAGGTAATGGCACCTCAGGCTAATTTCTGACCAGGGAGCTTTGTAGGCCTGGACAGAGTGACCTTGCTAGGAAAACTACCTCCAACACTATTTGTGGAAAGATACAGTTCGCTTGATGGAGGAAAGACATCTTCCAAATTTAGTTCGCCTTAAGACAAAAGCCCCAGACAATTCATTTTGAGATGGTGTACGAGGGAGGAAAAGGGGTCCAAGAATGGTGTCCAAGCTATGTAGGAGAGAATAGGGGGTGTCCCAAAGATGCCAGAGGGTGAGGAAGAGGGAGCAGCTGGGCCTAGGGCAAACATTTGACCACACCCCCGGCCACGCCCTCCCAGCTGCCCGCAGAGCCACAAGGAATTGAAACACCAGTGTGAGCTGTTAAGATTCCGAAGGCAGAAGTCGCCATGGCAACCGGATTCGTCTTGCAGGCAAACTATGCTTCAATTCACTAGGTCCGGCACGAATCTCAAGAAACTACCAATTCAATGGGGGCAAAACGGTCACGGGCAGCATTTGCTATGGATGCTCTATGGAGGTTGAAGGTGGGAGAGAGGGACTGGAGAGCAAAAATCTATTCCTGAGTCCAGTAAAACATGTTATGGGGAGGGGACACAACGCCCCAAACCTTGCCTGTAAGCAACGTGCAAAAGACCTTAGAAGGGTTTGATGAATGTGTGAGTAAACGAACGAATGAAGCTGACGGAGAAAAGGGAGAGAAAATCCAGAGGACTTTCGAGTTGTCGGACCGGGCCTCGCCTCGCTCTAGTCTCCAGTCAGAAGACAAACAGCTGGTTTAGCGCACCAGTTGGATAAACCCGATTATCCAGCCTCCTGCCCCCACAGCGAACCTTATCATTAGGTTACCCGGCACCCCGGCACCCCCAGGGTTCTAGGGAGGGCGTTTAAGCCCCCGCCCAGGTGTCCTTTGCAGGGCTCGATTCGGCAGAGCCAAGACTGAGACGCGCCCTCCAAAGCAGGACGCGGGGAAACCCGGTCGGGTCCCCGGGAGGCGTATCTCCTCGCGCCGCAGCCAGCCGCCGTCTCGCGGCCTCCGCAACGCCAGGCTTCCCTCTTCTCTCCGCACACAGTAAGCATGGACACTGCCTGGATTACAGTCACTGCCTCCGTTTTAAACACTACGGCTTGACATGAAGGTGCCAGGGATGGTGGGGGACCCGCGGCCACCGCAGTGCCCACGATCTTACAGAGCCAGCGGCCCAGGAACGCCACCCGCTGCGGCAGCTCCCGCAGCCCTGGCCCCGGGGAACCCTCGGCCGGGAGGCGAGCTATACCCGGCCGGTTCCACTGCCACAGAGCGCCGAGGAAAGAAAAAAGGGAGGGACCCCATCCTCGGGGACGCCTTTCCTTCAGGCTCGCCTCGCTCCGTGCGGCGCTGCAGCCATTTTCCAAAGCCTAGTTTGGCAGCCCGTAGCAGTCTCGGTCCCGTTCCCACCCAGCTCCAACCTGAAGGACGAGTTTAATATTTACCTACTGGCCCGGGAGCTCCGGGAAGCAGCCCGAGGGAGCGCCGCCAACAGCGCGAGGAACCAGCACGCCCACCCTGAGCCACGGTGCGATGCCGCTAATGAATGAGTAGGGCGGGCGAGCCGAAGCGTCCCCTCACCTGAGCAGCTGCTGCATGCTGAAAAGGCCGCTCTGCGTTCCCGGTACAATGGGATCCGGTTAAACAGTTCCCTTCACAGCCGCTCGTAGGTTACCAACTCGCAGGTGACATCACCCACGCCTCGTCTGATAGGATACAATGTGGCATCCACTGCGCATGGACGCCCTGGCTGGGCCCTTAGGATTCAGGGAATTGTAGTCTCCATCCTGCAGACAGAGGCGAAATAGCCTTGTCATCCTCGCCAGCAAGAACTACAGTTCCCAAGGTGCCTCTCTTCCCCGCTGTGCCCGCCCCTCCCCGCCCCTCCAGACCCGCCCCCTCCCCGCCCTCCAGTAGAGTAGTGCCCGCGGTGGTCGTTCAGAAGCCTAGCTGCAAACTGCTTGGCCGAGAGGGAGGGGCACCCAGCGGCCGTGCCCTTTGACTTGACCTCTGTTCTGCCGACGAGCGGGTAGGCTGCGGGACAAGGGGCGTCCTGAACTCGCGCACACCTACTGGGCACTTCTGATCGACTGGGCTCTCCTGCCCCCAGCTGGGAAGGGTCCATAAAAGCCTTTCTCTGCCTTCCCTACTCAAAGCCACTAATTCACAGGACTCCAGGGGTTCTGGGTTGAATACCGAGCCGGTATTTCCCCCGTCCCCAGGGATCAAACAACGCCAGCCGTGGAAGGGAGGAATCCCCTTGCAGCACACTCGCTTCAATTCACGTTCCTTCTCTCTTTCCTTCTCCCCCTTTTAACCAAGACCGAGTAGCCAAGAAGAAAGCCGGGAACAGCGTAGTCGGCTGAACTGACAGAAAAACTGGCGGCTGTCACTAAAGGAAATGCAGTGTAATAGAGGACAGAGACACAGTCACCACAACCCTGCGTCCGCAAGCCTGCTACTGTGGAGATAGTACTATCGCACAGCCATGCTTTTGTTCATCTCTGAAGGGACTTCCCGCTCTGGTGGCTCTCAACTCTTCCGAAGACAGCATGCATGTTTAAAAATGTTAGTTAATTGTGCATTCATAAAATTGAAAATCAGCAACCGTCGCTCCCCACACATTTCCTTTTAGAAATACAAAAATGTTAAAGACCTTAAAGCAGTGTTCTATCAGGGTTGCCCCATCTTCAGACACCTAAATACATATTCAAATGGCATGGAATTCTAACCCTTCTGGCAGATTTTGGTTTTAATACATAAAAGTTTTCAGGGTCGTTATCAGGTTCAATGAATACCAAACATGCACATTTAATGGGGCAGGGTGGGGGGACGTTGTAATCTCTGGGTGTCTTTTTACATAAAAAAATGCATTTATTCAACTTTCAGTGGTACTGTTGTGATCAACTCACATGTCCACTTCACCAGCAAAGTTATGATTTCACATCTCAGGAAATGAAGACTGACAATTAAAATTTCCAACAACCCTTCACCTAATTGCTGGTGGACTACCACCACTCATCTCTCCCTTTTTACCTCGAAACAGTAAAGCTCAAGGGAAATACATTCTTAGAGCTGGATGATGGTCGTGGAGGAGAGGGGAAGTGAGGGGAAGTGTTCTGTGAAAGAGGAGGATTACTGCTGAATTCCTATTTTTTTCGGCAAGCCTGTTCTGTACACACCAGCCTATTTTCCTCCGCCGAAGCAAGATAACCCTGTTGCTCTTCTGATCTACTCGGTCCATCTCAAATATTATCTTAAATGGAACCCAGACAACACAAATGTTCCCTTGGCCATCAGACCAAGGGAGCAAGCAGGGATGCTCCAGCTAATGGGTAGGTAGACTTAATGTATTGCACAGTTCGCTATGGGAAGATATTCAGAAAGAAACCCGACCTGGGATGGTTCTAAAGGCTCCCTCAGTCTTATAAATGTGGGAAGCTTTTAGGTGGAAACAGGCAGTGAACTTGAAATTTACTGAGTCAATAAATTGAACGTGGAGCCTTTCTATCTGGCAAGGTTTGCCCTTGTAGATGAAAGCATGTTGTTAAAGCAGGCTCAGAGAAATAATTTTCTGGAAGCAACTGCCTTTCAGCAAGCTATCTTGGCTCTCAGCAGTAAAGAAAAGGAATAGACTCTTGCCCAAAGCAAAAGGATCCGTTCTCTATAACAGTGCTACTGGGTGTGTCATGTGGCACAGCTGATCTCCACATATATGAGGGGAGTCTGCACAAAAGACAAAACAGGGAAGTGTGTGTGTGTGTGTGTGTGTGTGTGTGTGTGTAGATGTGAGATGTCTATCAATCAACTCTAAATATAGATAGTGTTTGAAAATGGTTTTCTGTGAGTGGTGAGGAAATAAACTGATCTCTGCACACTGTTGCGTTGGTAACCAAGGGAAACAAGATGGCTCTTTAGCATCAGAAATGCCATCTGTAGACCTGAAACCAGTGGAAGCTTAAACATTTCCATGATGACATAGAGAATCTCATATTCACACATACACACTTTCACACACTCATTGTATATGTCTGTATTGAATTCTTTCTGTGAGACTCAGTCTCAAAAACAATGCAAAGCCCTCATTCTTTCTAGCTTAATTTGTACTCCAAGCCAAAAAGATTTCTCGACTTTCTCCCTATTATTTTTAAACAACTGATCCTCTCCTAGAATTATCTTACAAAGACTCCACATCATCCAATGATCACCGACTATTAATTAGGAACACTTGGAGCCATCGAGAATAGACTTGTCTCTGTGAAGAGGGTGGGAGACAAAGGCATCATGGGGCATGTTGCTGATGTTTCAAAATAACATCTCTAGTCTCTGGTTACAAGGTTTTCCTTCAGGGAGGGAATAAGACACCAAGAGAGAATGTGACCGTTTATCACCTTACATGCGTTGCCTTGTAACAGCTTGGTATTTCACAATGGTTACAGCTTTTTGTTGAGCCTGGGTTTGGGATTGGGCCATTTTACTATTTTCAGCCCTGCAACTTTGCTTCCATGCATAACTTATTCTCTTGGCGCCTCAGTTTCCTCACGTGTACAATAGAATTAGTAAGAATGCTTTGGGGTACTAGATGAGGCATGTAGGAACACTCTTTTGAGGGAGAAGCAGAGTTGGGTGTTAAAGATGCTTTAAAATCCACTTAAGCATGAGAGTTAAGAGAAAGGCAGGCTCTCAGAAGGAAGTAGGACACACCTGAAAGCAAGGGCCTGGGTTTCATAAAGAGCAGCAAAAACTAAGGCTTAGTCAGACGTGAGTGTAATATTCTCAATAGAGAGTTGCCGCAGGCTATTGGCCGCTGTCCACAAACTGATGATAAGGGCCTATTGCCGAAGACGCAACACTTACATGTCTCATTGAGTACAGGGAAGTCAAGCTGCTGTCTAAGGAGAACCTTCACATCTACTGATTAATGTTCACAGATCTGGAAGGTGTTCTGCATGCTACCAGGGAGGGGGGATGCAAGCACCAACCCAGCTACAAACCCCTCCGTCTATAGTGATGACCTGCCCACAGGCTATGCTGGTGCAATGATGGCATAAACCTTGGCAGTGTGACCAACCACTGTCTGATTGGATTTAAGGCCCACACCGTGAGATAAAACCCATGCCTGAAACTGCTCAGGTGGCCATGAGCCTGAAACTAGATAGGCCAGAGTCCAAAGGAAAACCAAACTGTTATTCCGCTAAAGGCACTTAGCAATAAAATGACTCCTAATGACTAATGTTATTCTGTTAAAGGAACAAGGCAATAAAACGAGTCCTATACCTACAGATCAGTGTCTCGCCCAGCCATTATCTGTCTCCTACAGTTGAGAGAAAATAATGCAAAGACCCACAACTGGACAGAGACCTTGGAACACTCAATCCTGAATGGGCTGTCCTAAGGGCCTGGGAAACGATGTGAAAGAGGAAGCAGAAAGATTGTCAGAGCCAGAGGGGATGGGTGACACCAAGGAAACAGAGTCGTCCAGACACAAGAGGACTGAAGAAGACACGGGACTCTCAGGGACTGCGGCAACACGGACAGGCCCTGCACAGGTCCAAGCCAAGCCAAACTCCAGGACTGAGAAGAAGTGGACATGATCTCCCATCTCTAACCAAGAAACTTTCTCTATTTGACACCAGCTTGCAAGGGAAAATTGGTTTTCTCCCATAGGGTCTCACTGGGGACACAAACCCTATTTAAGGGCAGACCCCTTACCCGGAAGCTGATAGCCAGCACCAAACAAATTCAATGGTATTTTGTATACTTTTCATCTCATATTCTTCGTTTGGGCATTTTGACCTTACTGGTCTTTTGCTTATATATTATGGTTTCCATGGTTTCCAAGTTTGTGCTTTTATGGTGTGTATGTGTGTGTGTGTGTGTTTGCCTGTCTACATGTTCATCTATTTTATCTATTTTTCATGATTTTTCCTTGTTATTTTTTTATTTGGTTGTTTGTTTTCTAAAGAGAGACCTCATGAGGTTGGAAGGGTGGGGAGGCACGGAAGATATAGGAGGAGATGAGGGAAGGGAAACTGATCAGGATATATTGTATGAAATAAATTATTTTCTATAAAAAAAGAGAGGGTGCTAGAAAAACACTTCTGAAACTGAGAACTATAAAAAAAAAACTTAGTTCTTACAGTCAACTGCAATTTTCTATGCTGTACCTAATGTTGAAATAGTTAATCAAAACTCATTTAAGTCCACTCTTATCCATGACAACACACGATTAGGAATTATATTACGTGTACCCCCCATCTTACCCTCAGCCACAAGTAGGCAAAGAGAACTTAGAAGGAAAAAAGAGAGAGAGAACTCGACAGTGGAATGGTGCTGATCCTTGGCCCACTCTTAGATCCTTGACTTCTTTGTCCATGGGGCCCAGTTGTGCTCGGTCTCAGGTGGAGCCTTTCCCAGGCTTCCCAGTTGGAGAGGCTCTTCTGAGACTGGAGGCAGAAGACAGGGAGAGATTCACCCTTTCTCTTCCTCCCTGGAGAAGCTCTGGATAACATTTCTTTGGGAAATTATGGTATTTCCCTTGTTAAAGTTCCAGCTTCTTCTAGGTCACCCTGGCCTGGATTAACAACACTTTTCTCCTTCTGCTCCTCCAGTCTAGGAATGAAGATGGCCTCCTGCTGATGATTTCTTGGCTCCATTTTAGCCTTCTGAGGTCTTGTGTTACAGTTCGCTGTTCCATAATTGCTCCAGTTTTTAGAAGGACAAT